ATGAAAGGTATTTATCTTCTTTGACGACATGAAGAGCTGTTAGTATCTCCACCTGATATGTCTCATCAAATGGTATCAAATATCCCAAATCAGAAATTTCTTCGCCATTCATATTTAAACTATCCTCATATCCAATAACCATTGGATCTAAAATAAGTGAACTTTGCTAACAATAATTTTAAAAAAAAAAAATTATTAAATTATAATTATATAAAATAACGTTTACAGATATTGTTTCAAACCTCATAAAAATCAATATAATGTGTGACAAATTTGACGGCTGCTCTAAATTTACATTTGATATGTTCAACGAGTGTATTATATAAGCCATATATACGAAATGTCTTCATCACATTATTATTGAAGAGTAAATATTTTTAAATCAAATAATTTAAATCAAAATAAATACTAAATTTAATTAATAAATAGATATATTAATAATAACATACTTTATCGGTATCAGCCAACACAGTGTCAATTTCTATTCTCATTTTGGGAATTGTAATGTTTAGACCATCACAAAAATACCAAATATTTTTGCGATATCGTTGTGAAAATTTAATTATATTTTTGTAAGTTTTGAAAAATAATAAACTTATCTTTTCATCTTCATCGGCCATATTTTCAGTTTACTATACTTATGTTAAAATATTTCAAAATTATTAGAAAATTTCAATAAACAACAAATCAAATTGTATTTCTATTTATATTATATTTATAATTTCAATTTATTCAGTTTAATATATTCAGTTTTATAATGTGAAAGCAATATATTAAGTTATGTATGAATACTAATAAAATAAAATAATAAAAGACAATTAGTTTGATTGTTTATATATTTTTATATTTGACAATATTTTATATAAAGCATAAATTATAGGAATTTTCTGATTATTATATATTAGTGATAACTGAATAAAATATTAGAAGAATACAAATATGAAATTTATTATATCGTAATTTAAATAATATAAAATAAAATGACAAAATAATTTGCAATAATAATATTATATTATGTTGAAACACATATTTAATTTTTATCATTTTATTATATATACTGTATATAATTTATTAATTAAAATATGTAATTTTTAATAATATACTTTATTAATAATTTTTCTTATAGTTGAAAATTACTTAAAAATAAGAATATTTTATTAAAAAACTTAGCAATAATTTCTTTAACAATTAAATATACTTTTTTTTATCCCTAATGCTAACCAATCAATGAACTCTAATTAATAGCTTCGCATACCAATCCCTTAAAATACATAATACAGTACAGCATATACAGTACATTACAGTACAATACTGTAATTATAAAACCAAAAACTGAGGCCTGGGATCAATTGGTGAATAGGTATAGTAGTGTAGTCGTAATGCAGTACTTACCAGTGTTGGCAGAGACAAAGTGTATAATACAAAGCGTATTATACAGTATAATACAATGTAAATTACATGACAATTTTGGCTTACAAAAAAAATTTAGCGCCACCTAGTAACAAAAATATTAAAATTCACAAACAAACACGTTTGTGTTTTTTTATATTGAAAAAATTTGAAATTAGCTATTCAATTTAATTCTGGTATTGAAATGTATTAATAAAATAATTAATATTAATTTTAATAGTTTTAGAAAACAACGATTCTAATAACGATATTGAAATTATATAATAATAATAATTTTAATTAAAATATAAATATTTTATCATTGTTAATGTAATTTTTCTATTATTGTAAAATACATCCAGTACATTGTATTTTACTGTATTTTAAATAGCCAAAATTGAAAACCTTGTATTTTTCCAACCCTGGTACTTACAGTGTATGCATTTGCATACAATCTAAACTTGCAAACTGTATATATTGGACATCATAATGCATAAAACAATAAATGCTTTAAATAGTAATACATTTATAATTAATTAATAAATAATAATATTTGAATTGAATTATACCAGTGGACAGAATGTATGGTATTTTCAGCTAGTTTTATATAAATCTATATATTTTTTTAGACAAAACTCAAATATTTCAATTTCTATGAGTTTATTACTCTTAAAATATCTGTCGACCTATTTATGGGTCAACCATTTGACTTAAACCTCTATATAAGTGACTGAATCACTGCTACTGACCATTACATTGCATGACAGATATGCATGTGCTTCACAACTATAACAAATTGTATCTCAAATTTAAATAAAATGATTATTAAAAATCACAATTAGTTTTTAATGTATAGATGAGTCTAAAAAAATAATTAAGTATAACTCAATAAATAATTTACACATATAATAATTAATTATTTTTATTTAAATTTAATACTAATGTTATTACAAAAATTTTAATTTCATTCAATTTCTAGTTACTGAATAATATTAATTATATAACTTATAATATGATCTAATATAATCAACTTAATAACAAATACTTAATTTTACACTTTTTTCAAATACTTAACTTAATTATAAATTATTAGTTTTTTGATAAGTTTTATGATTGTATTCATAAAAATATGCTTTTATTAATTTTCGTGTATAGTTATGGCGTCTGTCATTATAATTAATACATAAATGTACATGTTCATTTAATTGATTACTATTAGTCATATTAACACTTAAATTATTGTTGATATTAATTGTATGCAAACAAAAACAGATTAACTCCATTGCAAACGCTATTAAAGCTAATATGAATCCAATGGCAATCAATAGGAAGAGTCCGTGTGTCAGGTCATCCATATTGAGCTGAAAGTCGTCTTCTTCTTCGTCTATCATTGTTTTTGTTGACTTTTTTTTAATAAATTTTTCAGTTATTAATCTTATTTTTATATCTTCAAGTGTTTTCTGATATTTTGTAAGTCCTGTATCGACACATCGTCTAATACTAAATGTTTGAATCGAAAATTATTTATAATTTTAAATTAAAAATTAATAATATATTTAAAATTTAAATCAATAAAAGTTTAGTATTTTATATTAAAAATTAGATTTTATTAAATAACGTACTCTTTAGCGATACGCTTAGATTTGCTGACAAATTTGTTAATGAAAATTGTTTGATAAGTTTGTCCGTATTTGTGTCGACCCAAACACAGTCTATTATTGCGATACATAATTAATTGTTGATTGTTATTCATTGAATCATCCAATATAACTAACTCTCCCTTTCCTATTGAACTAATGATTTTATTTGTCAATTTAATGACATGTCTGTCACTGTTTTGTGATTTATCTTTAATTCTTGACACTAAAAGATCCCACAATTGAGATGTGGTTTCATTTCTAATTTTTGTCAATAAATTTGAATTTATAATTTCTATATTTTTATTATTAACAATATCTTCCAATGAGTTAATTATGGGAACAGCTTTTGTTGGCATATATGACTCTAGCAATACATTTGAAGCCTCTTTTATAATAACACTACTCATTTGAAACCATATATACATTAGTAATTGAAAGATAAGATAATAAGCAAATGATTTAAAAATTTTACTATTTTTCAATTTTTGCCACAATTGTGGGCTATTAGATGACTGTGCGGTTAACATACGGTATAAATCAGTTACCGATCGGTATATACTATAATGCGATGGATTCAATAAATTAATTAATAGCGAACTCGTAATAAGTGATATAAGAATTGCGATCCAAAACTAAATAAATTTAAAAAAATTAATAAATATATATATATCTAAATATTAAAAATAATTTTTATTAATTATTTTGATTTACTCACAAATGAATCAAAAAGGAAAACAAATGCAAAATATTTGGTTTCTTTGACTACTCTAAGACCCGTCAATATCTCGACCTGATATGTGTCGTCAAACGGTATTAAATATCCCGCGTAATCCATATCTTCATTTTCAATGACCATTGTATCCAAAATTAAAGAGTTTTGCTAATAATTAAAATAATCGTTTTGTTTAAATAATTATTTAAATTAATAACTAATATTTTATAGTCATCGTAATAGCATTTATTATACAGTACTTCATAAAAATCTTGATAATATGTAACAAATTTGACGGCTGCCTTGTATTTGCATTTTATATATTCAACTATTGCATCGTAAAAGCCATAAATACGAAAAATCTAAATTATAATATATATATATATATATATATATATATGATAATTAATAATTAATAACAAATAATAAATTATAAATTATAAATTATAATATATAATTTGTTTGAAAAACTTACTTTATCAGTATCAGCTAATATAGTATCAAGCTCTATATGAAATTTAGGAGAAGTTAAATTTAGATGATTACAAAAATACCAAATATTTTTGCGATACTCCTGTGAAAATTTTATCTGATTTTTAAATCTATTATAAAATAGAAGATTTAATTTTTCATTATCAATATCCATAAGTTTTTATTTATGGATAACCTATTTATGAAGTTATCAATTAAATTGTTATCCTATTATTACATTGAATTTCAACATTCATTGAATTCATAACAATTTAAAAATCAAATAACCATTGAATTTAATTTATAATATAGAATATATCAATAATATTAAAATAAATTATTGTTATTGTATTTATATGTAATATTACATAAAAAAAATATTATTCAATTAATATAATGTATTTTTACAATATTTTCAATTTTAGCACATTATATGTAGATTAACCTGAATATTATAGAATAAATTATTTATTGCTATTATATTTAAGTTAATATTGTAAAAGTATCCACTTAGATTTTTAATATAAAAAGTGGTAAATAATTTTATTTGATTGTTTTCTTAATGATATAAAACATATAATCCAATAAAAAACAATTTGATTTTCAAATATTCTTAAAATGCGTCATAAAAATTGTGAAAATACTTTTAATAAATTAAATTTTTATAAAAAATAAATAAAATGATTATTTTATTATTGATATTTTTTGCTAAAAAATTTACAAATTTGTTCCTAATATAAAAACAATATTTACATAAAACAATTAATTTAATTTCTAATAATTTATTTTTACAATTTTGTTACAAAATCTTTATCTTCAGCCAGCGATCGGTTTGTACTATCATTAATATCATTGCCTAATATACAGTCCGTACTATTAGACTGAGAAACGGGAAGAGATTTCGAGCCAACACATGAGCCATACTTTTTAGTTCGCGGAAGAGTAGCCATAGTGTCATCAATAGGTCTGTCAACCTCTTCTCGCATCCGGTGTTGTCCATCATCTTCTTCATCATCATCTGTAGGTTCGAGATGTATGTCATTACAGTTGATTGCGTCCTCCAGCAGATCCAGTGATTTGCATTTAGGCTGTTGTGGTATACAACCACCTGTTTTCAGTGGACAGTCGTGTCTAGTGATGGCATTAATTCTATTCTCATTTATTATGTGATTGTGATTAATGTTATTATTGACTATTTGCGGACACGAATGACCAGAATTATGTGATCCTATTTGAGTACTATTTGTTAATTTGTTTGACATTATTGTTGATGATTGACGACACCCATGATTGCCGACACCAGTGCTCGTGATTATCGATGCGTTCAATAATAACTGTCTTTCCCTTTGGCACAACAGCTCGTATTCACTCATCTTGTATTGCAATAAGTGCTGTAAAATTAAACATAAATTTTATTATATTATATAAATTGAAATAATTAATCAAAAATAATAAAATAAGTTTGAATAAGTTTTATAGAAATTTAAAAATTCAAAAAATATCACTTTAATGTTATAATATAATTTTAATAACATTTATACATTATTTTCTAAATTTTTAAAAGTAAACCATTAAAAAGTACTCAAAATTATATTTTAATACAGTATCTCAACATATAATTATTATCACTATTTTACATCTGTGTAGAGATAAATCTTAACTAATCTTTATATTGTATAAAAATATTATAAAATGTCATAAATTATAAAAACAGTATTTATATGTAAATTATTTGAATAAAGTCTAAATCTATTATCTATTATATTTATGTTATGTAAAAAAATATTTTATAAGTTGACCTAAAAATTATGACTTTTTATTTATTCAACTAAAAAAATAATTTAAAAAATAAATTACTAACTTAGATAATGTATTTTAAAAATTAAAAAAATTATAAAATATTAAAACCTTAAGCTTAAGATATTTGATATGAAGTTCAACTTTGCGGACACAGTCCTCAAACAATACTACAATTCTCATAGTCTTCTCACAGGAACTGATATATTTAACGAGTGTCTTGTGATCAGCCCTTTCCATATCTTTACCATTGATGGACAGTATGACATCGCCGGCACGCATACCACCCTTAAATGCCGGACCCCCGTACTCCACGTGATCCACGTATGTCAACAGTTCAACCTCACCCTCTCGTTTGTGTTTTATACCATAAGTCTACAGTATAAGTACATATAATAAACATTATTATTATTAATATTATACAAATAAAACCATAATATTAAGTTATTGTTAATTATAAAATCAATATTTTTAGTATAACCTGTAAAGTAAATCCAAACGACTGTCCCTTTTTCTCAATGATAATAGTCCTCCGCCTTCTGTCTTCTTCGGGTTCGGTATTAATAATACGGTCAGACTTTACGGAATCCAACACTGATTGCTGTAATGAAAGCAAACTTTTTGATACATATTTTAATGAACGCGTAAAAGACATTGTCTTTTATAATATCACTCAATAATATTTAAAATTGTTTTTATATATAGAATACAATAGTTTTCTAATATGTCTTTATTTAAAAAAATAATAAACATAAAATGAGTTTATAGTATTTTTTAAAATTAGTTATATGAATGACATCACTTTAAATATGATGTTATATAAAAAACCAATTGTTTAGTCATTGATATGTCACAAAAATGTATTATATATGTATATATATATATAAACAGAAATATAAAAAATCAAATGCAAAAAATCACTAAAAAATCATTTTAACTATTTTTTTCTATGACTTGCTCTTCACTACCAGTGATGACACAAACAATTTTTTGCAGACAACACAACAATACAAGCAATCAATGATAATCGTAATCTCTTAACCAAAAAAATATTTGACACAAACTATATTGCAGTTTGCCGTTAGCATTGAAGTTTGCCAAACATACATATACTGTACATACAGTATATAATACTGTATTTAAGGCATAGTTATAATTCATTTAAAAAATACAAAACACTATATTATTATTATTATTATTATTATTATTATTATTATTATTATTATTTGTGTATATAATTATATTTTTGCTCTAATAATCATAGAATATTAAAATAAAGAGAGTACAGCACGCTTATTAAATATTTAAAAACTTCATATACCTGTACACATATTTTTATAAAACAATAATATTAGTAACACACACACACACAAACTAGTTATTATAATATCCCTCTCTCATGCTATTTATGAAACAATTATAAATAGGAGACACAACTCATCAACGAATCAGTACTTAATATAAGTATAAAAAAATAGTCTTAAAAAAGTGTTACACTTTTTTTAAAAATAAAAATATTAAACGAATCGTTTATTTGATATAAGATATACAGTTAAGCTATCGTATATACAGTAAGTCATAAAATATAAGTAACTTAAAAAATTATATTTCATTTTTATTGAATTGTTTTTTAAGACATAGATTTTTATAAATAAACTACACTAACGGGTGCATAGCATAAAAATACTGTAAAACATAAAACATGACATACTGTTTAAAGTTATTAAAATCTTATTTTTTAATTTTAGTATTTATTGCTCTTTAAATAGAGTACATTGAAATAAAATCTTTAAGAGCTCCTCAATAAAGGAAATAAATTATTAGTACTTAAAATATGTATGTAATATTGACTACTAATAAATATATTTTTAAGGTTTTTATATTTATTGTAATTATATTGTCTTTTAAAAAATAAGTGATTGATTTTATCAAACTAGATCTCAACTATCGATAAATTTGTCATTTTTGAAAAAAAACTTTTAATGAGTGCCAAAAAATAGTGGCATAAATACAGTACAATTCAATTAATAATCATTAAAAATTTAATAAAGTATTTGTGAATTAATAGCCATGAATAACATTATTATTACTATTATTAAATTATTATTATTATAATAAACTCATTATATTATTTAATACATAAGACCTTCAAAAATAATGGCACAAATAAAATTCATGATAAAAATAATTTTCATCCAATTATATACATAATTATATAATAGTCATAGATTAATATTTAAACACAAACACTAATTTATTAATATATAACTGTGATATAGATATATATAACAGTTTTGCATTAAATATATTTCCTATTAATTTATAAAAACAACACATTTATATTATCAGAGGTATTATCTTTCTTATATACTGTATATAACTTATTTACTGGCAATGAATTACTCATTTGATAGTCAAGTAAAATATTAACCAAAAAAATATATAATCTTTTATATAAAATAAACTGAGATAAGAAACTACACATTAATGACATGATTTTTTCTATTGAATATATAGCATAATTATAATACATAAATCGATTGTTTGATTTGTATAGTAGTTTTGCTCAACAATTATTAATGACTTCAATTATATTTTATATCATTAACTTTTAGCCGTTTGCAATGTCATTAAAAGCATACTTAATTGCCGATCAAATTAAATGATTCACAAATAAGTTATATATAGGTTATACTTACAGTTATTGGTTGCATATTAAAAGTCAATCGGTACCCATCAATGTGTGGTTAACACTAACTATAATTATATCTGTATATAAAAATACCACATAACTAGTTATACACTATAATAATAGTAAATAAATCCATTAACTATTTTTATTTTTATTGAATGAATATATAAATTAACTAATTTGATTAATAAATTATATTATGTTTTAAAAAATTAATTTTTGAAAAATTTAATTTGAATCACAGACACATTAATCATATTAATTATAAAATTTAATAATATCTAATAGACTATTATGTTGATGGTTAATGATGTTATACATAATTATTAAATTATAGACAGCTTTATTATTTTAATAAAAYTATTTCAAAATACAACAAAAATCTATTAGATTCAACTCTATTATTGTGGACAMTATTAAAAATAATGCAATCATTATATTGAATAAACTAAATAATTTTTTGAAATTTCAATATTATTATTGTTTAGTATTTATATATTGATATTATAGCATAGATATGTAGTGAATGACATTATTTTTATGCTTAGTTATGATTGCATTGACATTTTACATAAGACTAAACCAAAATAATATTCATTGTTTGTTGTAATACAGTATAAAACAATAGTAATAAAATAAATATAATTATCTTAAATAATGTTATAAAATGTTTTAACAATAATAAATATTATATTAAAGTAATTGACATATCTATACATATTATTATAAGAGTATTGTATTTATTTTTTTTTTAAAAATATACTGTACATGTTAAGTAGATAAAAATATAAATTTATAAACTATTATTCAGTATATAAATATTATTTTTACCACAAATGTTGCAGTTAAAGATTAATATAACAATTATATACAAAATAATTAATAACAAATTAATCATGTTTTTTTGTTATAATAATAACAATAGTATTTATGTAAATATTACAATCATTACGTTAACAATAAGACTACATATCCCGGATACCTAACTATAAATCTTGTATAATATATTAAATATTTATTGAAGTCTAGTTAAAACAATAGTTTGGCATTTCATGTAATTAATGTATATTTGAACAAATTGCTGATTAGATAAATTGCTAATTTATTAATTATTCAATAATTATAATCAATAATTATAATATTTTTCTATAACAATACGAATTAATTGATAATTAATATACTTGTACTCTTGATAATTGTATTCAATGACTATAAATACAATTTTATTTTTTTAAAAATATTATATAAATATCTAAAGTCAAGAAAATTTTCAAATGATTTTCATAGTAATATGTTGACTAAATTATACATGTAATATAAAATTGAAATACACTTAATTATTAATTTTATAATATTTAAAATAAATTAATTATAAAAACAATTATATTTTGTTAAACAAACTAGACTCAATAATTGTACAGTAGGTTAATTACCACACGATATATTTAATTACAATTATAAATATATTAAATACCTTTATATAAAATATCAAATGTCAAAGCTATATCATATATCTATACCCAACAAATAGCTATTTTAATTAAAATGACATAAAGTTTGGAGCAGTTTGTATGTCATCTAAAAAATAATATGTCATTTATAGGAAAAATATCTTAGATATTATATCTATACTCAATATTTGCTGTTAAATAATTCATATAAACTATATTTGAAGTTAAAACAAATAATTCAATGTCTAATTATAGTCAACTTATTGAAAATCATAACTAAATAAACGAATGTAAACAAAAAATTATTGATTGATTTATAAATACCTCATTTATTTTTGTTATATAACTTTTGAACGATGAGATAATTTTATACTCTTTTTTATTATTAGTATTGTATTTGTTGTGACTATTATTACTACACTTTGTCGTTGACTTGTTTGACATTTTATATAATAAATGCTGAGATTATCAATAAAAAAATGTATTGAATTGAGAACACACACTGTGTTTTGACAATTTGTTGATCACAAAAATATATATAATTTTTGTAATGAAAACACAACTATCAAACAAAAAAATAAAGTAATTACTTTTTTCAATATAAAATAAATTTACAATATAAGTTATTATTAGACACAAATTAACAACAAATATAATATATAATAAAAATACAAATAAAATTATGTCTTATAACAAAAAGTTTCTTATATGAGTTTTTTTGTAACAAAATTATATACCGTAGTATTGATATTTGAAAATTGCTTTTTAAGTTTTACTGTCAATAATTTTTTGTTATTGCTTTCAATCTAATTCACAGCGTAATCAAATCTTAAATAATTATTTTATTTTACATGTTTTAACTATTTAACTATAAAAAAATCAAATGAGTGGTAATTAAATTATATACACATCATGTTTGGCAATGTTGTTGATGTTGCCGTCATTGATATAGTTTATTAAAAAAAAGTTGTTTATTAAATATATTATGGGTTGTTATGCACAGTCAACTAAGTAATAATAATAATAATATTAATAATAATAAATAACAATCAACTATACAACAATTTGCACCGGACTTCAAATAATTGTTATCAAAGCAACAATCACTAATCATTATACTTTATATACAATATAAAATATCACTGCATATTAACTATAACTTCTATGCATTTATACATAAGTTTGTTGTATGGCTTGTTTAAGCTAAGGCAACACTATTTAAGATAAACTTATAATGAAAATGTTTCAACTATTTTGTTAGTGTACTTGAAGTTCACTGTAGATAATGAAAGAGACATTTAAATATATTTAATGTATTAGAAATGGATTATTGCAATACTATAGTTTAAAAATTACTAATATATTAAATAGCAAATGAAAAATCACAAATCGCTTGACATGTAGGGCACTGATAGCTGATACCTATCCCACACATACAACTTGTAACTGTATGTTATATATTGTAGTATTACGTACGTAACAGTACTTAATAAAGCAATTGATTAGATTTTATGGTGTAATGCGAGAGAAAATGTAAAAAACATATTTGTTTTTTAGTTAAATAAAAAATTTGTTTTTATTATACAATTTTTATGAGCGCTTTCTCATAGATCCTAATAGTAAACGATATTAATTCTGTATATATTACTGTATATATTACTGTATATTTACTATACATATATATACTGTACTTTTATAWAATATAAACAAAAAATTTCAGGGCTTATAAAAAACAATATTTGATTTCTAAAAATAGATAATTTTAAAATAAAACATAGTTTTAAAAATATCAATAAATTGTATATAATAGCAAAATCTAGTTAATTACCATAAAAATATAAACATATTTAGTCATACATAAGTATTGCAATATTATTGGAAAAAACTCAATTAAAATTTACTGATTACGACCAAAGATTATATAATAATTTATGACTAATACGTTATTAGTGTTAATAAGTTTATTATTGATTGATAGATTAACAAAGGAAAATCCAAGTTTTTTAAAAATATTTTTTTATTATYATATTTTCATTTAATAAGTTATTGTGAAAATAAGTTATCACAAAATTAGYAATATATTAATTTATTTTCTAACAATAATAGATTATAATTTATAAGGTTGATATTTATTTTCACAATTAAAAAATTATATATCTATGAATTGTTATTAAATCGTCAACTATACAATTTTAATTTTAAATAATTTGTTTTATTAAAAGTTGATAAAAAGTTACTTTTATTTTTTAGTTATTTAATTGATTTAAATTTAATTAAAATTTAGAAATTCTAACTATATATGGCTATCAAATAAATATAACATTAGTATACTTTTATATTTTTTATATTACTTTTAATTAGCTTATCTCATGTAATATAAATTTTATGTTAGTAATTGTTATGCTATGAAGTAACAGATCAATCATAAGATTATAATACCTGTTTTTTCACTTAATATTTATATATAATTATTTATATATTTATATGACCCTAAAAATTAGGACACATTTAGTATAACAACACAATTTTAAATATCAAAATTTTAAATTAATATTAATATATTAATTTTAAAATTTAGTTAAGTTTTAGATAATATTGTATATTTAATWTACACATAAAGTATATTGACATTTGATTGATCACATATTGATTATTATTTTATGTCAAAACATGTTGAATGCATATTATAAAATCTTACTGGGCTACATATACTGCAAATTATATATATATTAATAATTTATTAATATTATAATTTTATAGAAAATATAAATAAAAACATTAATAATAATATTAAAAATGTTTATTAAAAACACTTATAATTGATATGACATTTTCCTGTGTGTGTTTAGAAAACAAAACAAAAAATAAATTACTAAACATGTTATACCGTGTATAATAAAATATTATTATTATTATGTCAATTAAGTTCAATAAACTTTGTATTAACACAACATATCATAGTATTAGAGAAAGTGTAAACAGTCAGTRTTTTTGTATTATTAATAATATACCGGTACTTATTATACAATTATAATATATTGTACTGTATATGGAAACCCTTAGATTATTATAATAATTATTATTTAATTAGTTAAGTAATATTTATCTTGAATAAAATGCAAAATATAAATTTATCAACATCTTATAATTTTATTTTGTGTATTTAACAAATGAAAAAACAATAATAATTAAAATAAAAAAATTAATGTTAAAACGTACCTGCTTGTTTGTGTATTGACTGATCAATAGATTGGAGTCCAATAAAACAAATTTCTTTTTGATATTTAAACTGTTATGTTGTTGGTATTGTAGTACCTGTGCTGCTCTTGTCGTTGATGTCAGTGACATGTGTCTGGTTTTACTATGAATGGCACAGTGATGATGATGATGGTGGTGATGGTGCTGGTGATGCATATGGTGCTGATTATGGGATAAACGACTGGCGTTTTGTTGATACAGACGCTGGAGTTGGGTTTGTTGTGTCTGTTGTTTGTCATCACTGATGCTATCGTTTATTGTTTTAAAATTATGATTTATTCTTTGATTTGAATTCATAATTTTATTTATTGTAAAAAGTAAATTAAAATTTTTGAATAATTTTTTTTAAAAATTATTTGATATGATGAAACTGTTTATGCTAATCAATTTAATTTAAATATTTATCTTGACAACTGTGAATAAATTAAAAAAATATATAATGATTTTAATAATTAAAATTTATTTATTGTTAACTAAAAATGATAATATAATAAAATAAAACTATCAAATACTTAAGCTATATTTTTATTTTATTTTTAATATATTGATATTTTATAGATTGTTTATACAAAAATACATATATATTGTATATATAATTAATTAATTTAAAAATTAATAAAAAGTTGTAATAAATATATAAAATAATTTTGATTAACTGTATCATTATTAATTACTTATTTATGCTAAAATAATAATGTAAATAATTGTTTTCGTTTTTAATAATAATAATTATAGCAATATAAATATTATAAAATTTAATCAGCTATTTTCTTTTATTTAAAAGCATTTTTTGGGGAATAAAACATTACTATCATTTAGAGATTTTTAGAGATTAATAAATCACATATTGTAGGGATATATCTAACAAATCATATCTTGCATTAAATATAATTTATAATATAATATAATATTATATATCTATTTCACATATTCAGCAAAAATGTGGCAAAAATTTCATTTATTCTGTTGAAAGACGAAGTAATAATATGTTACAACCTTTTTGTGAATCAGATTTATACGACTGAATGAATTGCTTTTATGATATTACTATTATATAAGTATATAATATTATATAAGATGTATTCAATCAAACAAAACAGTTGCGGATATTTCATAACAAATTTATTGTTATTATCTATTTATAAATGAAAGTTTTCAATAATATACACACATATCATAATTTAATTGCTTTTGGTTGAAGTAGATTATAGCAAAATAACTTTAAAGTTTGATGTTTATTGATGATTAAAAAATATTATATTACCACAAGAAAATATTTATTATTTTAGTTAACAGTCACTATTTTATATGATACATCAAAATATAGTATACCGGTATAATATATATATATATATATATATACTGTATAAATAATTATTTAAATATCATAAGTTGTGTGATACAATTTGTTTTTACTATTCAATGCAATAAATATCAAAAATAAATATTAAAATAAAGGTATATTTTGAGTTAAAAATAAAATAACATTACTTACATTTTAAACCACTTTCTAACATTACTGTACAACACAAACAGTATATGTATAGTCAATCATTTATTTTTGTTGAATGAGTGAAAAAATGATGACATTTTGGTTCAATTGATTTTTGGCATAATAGGGAAGTTCCGGCTTATGTTAAGTAAATGTAGAGTAATATACTGTATGTACACATATTATGAATAAACTATATAAATATATATTTAGATTTTATATTAAACACAATTTATACAAAATTCACTGTATTATGTGTTATGTAATATATTTATAAAATAATTTAAACAAACACTTACTGTACTTATAAATATAAGATAAACAATTTTTTATATTAAACAATTGGTTTTATTTAAATAACTATACTTTTCGTATAACATTAATATTCACAAATAGCAGTAATCTAATAATAAAAACATTTGATTTTTTATTTTGCTGACTGTATTGTCATTTAACTTTAAAGACAGTTTGCAATAGATCTATACTTATATGAACAACAATAATAATAATATGAGTACTTGAGAAATGTGTGGTTATCACAATTCACAGCTCATGTCGATGATAGCTCATGTCGATTGTAGTGTCAGTATGACTCACAAACATTGGCAGAGGAGATGAGTAACTATTAATGGATAAGACAGTGAAAGCGGGTCAATGAAAGGAGAGAGAGAGAGAGAGAGAGAGAAAGCAAGAATATTATTGATAAATAGTATTTACGATTAGATAGTTATTCTGTGTACTCATTGACGGCACTTATAGTATACATAAATACAGGTCCTCTCCCAACATAACAACACAAACTCCTCGTGAGCCACAATTCAGTCATTTATTTATTGTTGTCATAAAATAACATAACCTACCGATGCTTAAAGTGAGTCCACTCTCTATCACTTGAAACGACTCCCCACTCACTCACACACCCGTACTCTTCAGTATGGAATATACTGTAATATTCTATGCCATTCACTGCATGATATGTTTTAGCACTTTTAGCTTAAAAATTCGTTTGGTATGGCTATGTATGAGGAATGGTATGTTCATTGGTGACGGTTGTTATGGCAGCGGCAGTAATTTTATAGCGGGTCGGCTTATTTTGTTTTTATTTTATACAATATATAATGCTTGAAATACAGTATAGTGTATAAAGTTATACTACAGTATATAGTAAATAATATTATCATAATATCATAATATATAACTATTTCATACAGTAATGCTCTCTCATACTATTATATACTGTATATCGTTGACATTATTTTTAATGTAATCAATAAAACAATATGTATATCATTGAAATTAAAATAACTATTTATTTTTAGGTTGTAATGTGAGAGAATCAGTGAAGCAATAGATAATTATAAAAAACATGTCATTTATATTGCTTACCGTATATCATATTTTCATCTATTTTAGCTTGATTATATTTTTATAGATAATTTTAGATAATACTATTTAATTAACATATAGTAGTTTGATACAACAAAAACATAAAATTTTGCCAATTTATCAAACATTTGTTTTATTTTGTCAATTATTTTGCATGTAAACGGAAATGTTATTACATATTTATATACTTTTTGTTTTTATATTATATTTTTATAATAAAATATATTACTTTATTTTGAAAATATAATATATATCATTTAAAATTTTGTATATTTCTAGATTTTGTGTATTTTAAAATTATTTTTAAGGGATATAATTTTACAGATTTGTAAAATAATGTAAATTCTGTTTTTTATTTTTGACGCAAAAAATAAAAGCATACTTTTAAAGATAAAAGCTTTTTATTAAATAATATATATAATAAAGACTTTGACATCAATGTTTCAAAAAAATCCAATTAATTATATGCACCACAATATTGCATTAATTTTTAAGCACAAAATTCAAATTTTATATATTCAAAAATTATTTTCAATTAAATAATAAATGTATGTATAATAAGTGTTTGTATGTGATGTGGTATTAACTAAAATATTAATATTTATTGTCTTTGATATTAAATTTTTAATATAATAAACATATTAAAACTTAAAATATAATATTTTCATATTAATATAAATTTGCTTTATCAAATATATAGTAAAATGCAATTGTGTAACATTTATCATTATTTATAAAAAATACCAACAGGTATAAAAATAAATATTTCTAATTATAAATATAATTGACTTACAGTATAGCTTATATTAATAAAATAAATAACTTAACAAAAATATATTTGTATTTTATATTTTACATACAGTGCTATCAATAGTTTAATTTACATTTATAACTTATGAAAATTTTTTGTAATATATTATATATTACTTAAAGTATAGTAATTTATAAATGCAAAAATATTTATGCAGTTAAATAATATATAGTTAATATATAATATAAAATACACAAATAAATATTGTACTCTATATAACAGTAACAAACATTGATAAATGCTTAGAGTGAAGATATAAGTTTAAGTTTGAAATGTATATACAGTGTTATCGTATAGTATTTACTGTATGAATGTATTGGTAGTACAGTAGTGAGTGTGAGTGAGTTTGTGAGTGAGTTTGTGAGTGAGTTTGTGAGTGAGTTTGTGAGTGAGTTTGTGAGTGAGTGAGTGTGAGTGAGTGAGTGAGTGAGTGAGTGAGTGAGTGAGTGAGTGAGAGAGAGAGAGAGAGAGAGAGAGAGAGAGAGAGAGAGAGAGAGAGAGAGCTATGTTAGCACAAGAAGATTGTGATTGTGAGCCGACTGGCAGTAATACTGAGAGAGGGAGAGAGAGAGAGCCTGTGCGCCGAAAATTTACGTACAAATGTACACAACATGTATTTTTGACTAAAACTAACGGCGCTCTCGTTTTTTCACTCCAACTGTACTTTCAATACATACATCTCATACCATACCGACAATACCGATGAGATGTGTGTTTGTATTATTGGTATACACTATGAAGGTATGTCTCGTTGAAAAATTGTTGTGCAATAGCTATATCTCATTTACAATACAACTACTACTGAAAACATACTCTAAATACTCTCACATTGTCTTACTCTTTAGTATCAGTGCTCTCTCTCTCTCTCTCTCTCTCTCTCTCTCTCTCTCCTCACTCTCTTTCACACTCATCTAATATGATCTCTGTTTTCATATGACTCTCATATAAACATAGATCCAATCTCTTGTTATTTGGACCGTTGATTGCAATCATAACACAACTACAGAGTCAGAGACAGACAGCTGTATTAATAACAACATTGATGTTAACATTGCTTACAATTCAATCATTAGTTATTGACTTATGTTTTATATTGTAAGAGTGGGAACAAATTATATTGAAAAATATTCTGATGTCAACAATATATATAATAATAATAATATTATTATTTATTTGTTATATTATTAAAATGTGACTTTAAATTCATCATCTTTTTTAATATCAACTTTTAACGTTATTGTCATAAAAAAATATGTCAAATATTCCAATAAATGATTTATGGGTAAATAATTTTTTATTATGCATTAGATATTATAAATTAATAGACATATTATTATAATATATTATATTTTTCATTAATGTTTATATATTTAATATTATCAAGAATTGCAATAATAGATTTATGTATATTTAGTAGAATTTCTAGAATATTCTTATATCATTTGTATATTTAAATATATAAAATATTAATATTATATATGTAAAGTCATTAGATTTTCAAAAATGCATGTCAAATATATAAATAAAGTATAATATATTTATATATTACATCATATATATATATATATTTGATACCATCAATTCTATATATCATATCATCAATAATATATATATATATATATCAATGATTGTTTGATTGGAAAAATATTATTTGAATYCTTTGCCTGAAATATCATATATTCCTGTTTATAATATGTATTATACAGTACATAGTATTATATATATATACTGTATTGTGTTGTTGTGATGGGTATTGATATATAAAATATTTATTCCTTATGTGTTTCTACCACAAGAATATTCTATATATTTATACTGTAATATTCAGTATAACAACAAAAAAATTATAAAATTGAGTTTACGTTTAATAATGTTATTAAAAAATATAAAGGACTAATGTTTATATATTATTTTTTATTAAAGACATTAAACAATATAAGTTATTAAAATATTTAAATGTCTAATACACATTTATCTTAAAAATTACGGTTCTAGCATAATATAATATATTATGTTATAATAATCAACTATAATAATCATAAATTTATATATATATTTAGTATAAATACTGTTTTATTATAACATACAGTAAAACTAATATAATAATTATTTTTATTGTTATTATTACTTAATATTATTATTGTGGTTTTCATCATAATTTAATGCAGTTGTTATAATGTTTATAATTTACAATTATTTAAAAACATATAATAAAAACCAATAAATACAATAATGATCTTTTTTTTATAAAAACACAAATTTAATACATAAAAAACGATAATAATATGTTTTGTATGAATCAAAAATATATAAAAATAATATATAAAAATTAAAAATCAAATATATGTTTAATTTTTATACAAGTTTTTAAATTATTATTTTTATTAATATATTTGAATTAAATATATACTAATTAATATTTATTGTTTATTGTATAAATAATGTATTAACTATACAAAAAAATGCTTTATCTAAAAAAGTTATTAATAAATTCAATAATTCTAATTTATAATATAAAATCTTATTATTATAAAATTAATAAATGGTGTGTTATTTTGCGATAATAAATATTGCAATATTTTAGTTAATATATTAATATAAATAAATAAATATTCATTAATTTTAGTATTTATTTAATGTATTGTATTTAAGAATTATCTGATAAATTCATTTTACAATATGCATAGCGCTTCAAATATATTAAAAACAATAATAAATAATATAATTAATTATTAAAAATTATGTCAAAAGATTAGTCAATTAAACCAAAAAGGATTATAATTGACGCAAATGCAGTAAAAATTTGAATTTTGATTAATAATATTAATATTATTATTATGGTTATTATAAACATTATAGCATAACAAATATATTTATATAGTTTTAATAATAATAATWTTTTTTTTAAATACGTGAGTCGTATATTTATTTAAATTATTTTTAGGACCGACTCAATGACGGCAAGTGTTTTATATGATAATGAATGAGTAGTCAAACGAAATGCATATTTATATATAATTACGACTTCAATGACAGTCCTGTGTCTCTAATTTAACTCAACGTCAGCTATATATATGGCAATATAAAAGATATATAAATGTAATAAAATTTAGTATTTGTCGAAAAATAAAAATAAGAATATTCTTTGTCTTTTCAAAGCTATGCATAAAATAAATTTAAAAAACAGAAAATTAAATTATAGCATAAACTATTTGTATAATAATATTTATAGCTATATTATATACAAATTATTTTTTGTTTGTTAACAATTTTAAATTAATGTAGTAGTATTAACACAGTTTATAGAGTTTATAAATAGTAATTTATTGTAAACTATTAATTAGCAAATATATCATAAACAAAAATAAAAACATTTAACACTTTATAGTTCATATGTTTGTAATTGTCATAAATAATGTCTTTGAAAATATTTTGACGCTTTAATGATTTTTGTGTGTATATGACATATAAGATAAACATTACATAAAGTTAAACTTATAAATTTTTATTATTTTATTTTTTATATATAAAATCAATCCAAAAATATATATATAAAATAAATAATACCAATAATATTATAAAAGGTTTTATATTTATTTTTTGTGGACTATCTTATAAAACACTGACAACAAAAATATTTTTAAAAATATAACACAATAAGAAAAAGTAATGATTAGAGTTGACAAATTTTAGTTTATATTATTGAAAATATTTTGTATTTTATTTAATGTTAAATTATATCTTTTACAAAAAATTGACAAATAAATTAAACTTCCCATTAATATTATTTGTATAATAATATAATAGTTATTCAAGAAATATTTAACAGACCCATTGTATATTTATAATACAATCAATACATTTTCTAAAAATAAAGTAAATTAGTTTTATAAATAATATAAATTTATATATTTAAAATAAAATAATTCTAGTTGGTTTTTTAATTTTTATATATAATAAATATACTGTATATTTTGTATATCTAGATTAGATAATAAATTTTGACATATATGAATTCCTAACTTTTTTATCTTTAGTAATAATAGAGGGGTCTAGTTCATAAGATCTAAACTCATTTGACCCAAGCTTACTTGACCCAACTCATTTGACTCAAACTCATTTGACCCAACTCATTTGACCCAAACTTATTTGACCCAAATCACTTGACCCAAATCACTTGACCCAACTCATTTGACCCAACTCATTTGACCCAAATCACTTTACCCAAATCATTTGACCCAAACTTATTTAACCCAAATATTTATTATATTATTATTCAAACTATATAATTATATATAAATAATACAAACTTAATAATTTGGAATATTTCTGGTTTTTTTTATTTAAAAATAAATAAATATGTAATAAATAAATATTATTAAGTTTTAAATTATTTTATAGATTAAATAGATTATTATTTTATTTATATAATTAATTAGATAAAATTATTAAGTTGTATATTATTTATATATAATTATAGTTTGAAAAAATAAAATAATAAATATTTGGGTCAAATAAGTTTGGGTTAAATGATTTAGATCAAGTGATTTGGGTCAAATGAGTTGGGTCAAATGATTTGTGTCAAATGATTTGGGTCAAGTGATTTGGGTCAAATAAGTTTGGGTCAAATGATTTGGGTCATATAAATTTGGGTCAAATGATTTGGGTCATATAAGTTTGGGTCAAGTGATTTGGGTAAAATAAGTTTGTGTCAAATGAGTTTAGATCTTATGAGTGCGACCGATAATAGAGATATAATATTATGTTTTATGTGTAAATTCTTTGATAAAATATAGAGAAAACAATCTTAAACATAATTGAAATTTAATACTAAAATAAAATATATAATAAATATTTTATTTTATAAGTTATTGTCGTTTATATAAATATTTATTAAATTAAATTTCCGTTTTTTTAAAAGCGGTATTAATTTTCATAATATATTCTTGTATTTATAGTGTGTTAATAATACCAATAAAATTGATAATGTTTTGTTGTAATGTTTGATTTAAAACATTTTTTTATTATGACACAAATAGTTTTTCACTTAAATAATTTTTATAAAATTTTTAGACTAACTAATCTCAAAAAASTAGTTATAATCTACTAACTATTGACTTAATTTTAAATGATTTCTATAATAAATAATAATTTAATAACTTTAATAACATTAGATTTCTTAACATTTTCTTATAATTTCAAATATTTATTTAATAATATACTGTATAATCTATTAATATTTGTTTGAAATAACTTTAAATCTTAKAKAAAAATAATATTATAAATAAATATGATCTTATTATATTATTTTATTTTATAATACAAATTTTCATGTATTCATGTAAAATATCTTTAAAAATAATTATACTTAAAYTATTTTAGTARTATTAAAATAAAATTTATTACTCAATATGTATATTAATATTTTATATTTCTATTTTTAAGGAAATTATTAATACAAATATAAATCAATGGAATAATTGGAAAATATTATATTATACGATATATTTGAAACAACAGTTATTATAATATATAGTTTAATTTATGACTATTTCAAGCAAATATATAATGAAATCTACAAAATATAATATTAGAATATTAATCAATAGATAAATGTTAATTAATATTTTTTAAAATTGTTATAAAACGTTAAAATGTTATACCATAACAATTGATGAACTAAAGTGATAATAATAATAATACATTGAAATAGTTTATTACAAATMTTTTTTTATCGTTTAAACAAAAATAATTACAAATGTTTGTTGTTTTAAAACTAAATACAATATCATTWTTATAAAAAACATATATAAAAATTCGATCTAAATTTTATAATATATTTAGTAATATTCTCTGAAAATAAATGACATTTRYTTTCATAAATCTCCTAAAAAATCGTTTAAAAAATACGTTATTTAYTACTTGTACTACTATTAGTAATATATTGAATTTATGTAACACAATATTTAATATAAATTGAAAATTTATAAATAATATATAAAAATAAAATTTTGATACAAAATATTGACATTTAATATAAATAAGAATAATATTTTATCACATAATATTGATATATATATATATATATCTATTTATTTATTCTATATTTACATAAATTTAAAGTCAATAATACATAATTACAAAATTAAATAAATAAACATACATTATATTAATATTATTAGATATATTATTTCTCATTTAATAAATAAAATGTTTTCATTGGTGTATTTTGTTGTTATGTAATTAAAGTAAATATATTACTTAATAGTAAACTCAACACAAAAAAAACAATACATAAAACTTATAACTAAAATGAATTTTTCATTTCACGCCATTAATTGAAGTGAAAATCATTTAATGTTTGAGAAAACTATTATTTTATTTTATAACAAACATTATTGCGCTAAATGGCAAATAATAGTGACGGCAATACTATTACTATTGAAAACATTAACAACCCATATATCAAAGATATTTCAGTAACTACTAAGCAAAACATTAATAATAATTTTGATATTAATTCAAAAGCTAACAAATGTAATAACAGTCAAACAGTAACAGAAAAACAACAACAACAACAACGAGAACCCATAGTGTTAGCTACCAGTGCTTCTTCGGACAAACATCAAGAATATTCTGTATCTGGTATTAAGCCATTAGTTGAACAATGTTTGACATCAGTGCTAACGAACTGTGCGATCAGCTCTATTAAGCCTAAAGAGGGACAGTTAGCTGTAAATAAAACAAATACAAGTGCAGTTAATATAAGTACGGCGCCGGAATCTACAATAACCTCTATAAGCTCCGACATTACTCCTAATATAGTTAACTTACCAAAAACATCGACAAACGTTAATCATAACAACGAAACTAAAAAATTGTTGACTAACATTTCATCGACAGTATCGCCAGGTGCTCAACAAACAACTGTGACTTATAGTTCATTACAACCCGGTGTGGGTCGACAAAAGGCCACCAAAAACAGTGCACCGGGAAGTGACACTACTATTACTACTACTAATACTACTACAACCACTACTATTACAAATAGTAGTACTTCTCAGCCGAAATCAATCAGTCCATTGCCATTGTGGACACTGAGCTCTCGGTTCCCAATCGCTAAATATTCGTCATTTGGTGCCAACAATCAGCTGACATTACCGTCGATTACATTGACTGATCTATTGCTTGATATTAAGGTGAAGTCAGTAGAAGCAACACTCATACCGCTCGTCAATCAGGTATGACTTATGGCTTATTACTACTACTACTACTACTCAGTTGGATAGCACTTACCTTAACTGTGTTTATGTATTTTTATTAATACAGTACTTATAAAGAGTATAATCTAACAGTTTAGTAATAGTCGTCTCATTTCATTTTAATAGACAACAATTACCATTAGTGTCATCAAAAATAATATATACGACTGATTTATTAAACTATAATTTACAATATAAATAATTTTTATTATTCTATGGGAAAAACAAGTTTGAAAAATAAAATTGTTTCAAAACAAGAATAATCATAAATTTATTATTTACAGTATTGTAAAAAATAATTAAAAAAAACTATTCAAAATAAAAACACATATTAAATACAGAATTTTGTAATAAATACAATAGTAAKTTATATTTAAATGTTATATGAAATATATCAAAACTAACATATAGACAATAAAAATAAATATCATATTACATATAACATTTTATTTTTTAAAAATAAAAATTAAGTTATAACTAGAGTATAGAAAAAACTTGAGCAATAATAGTAATCTGTAAAAATGATTTTAAAATTATATATTTATTTGTTGGATAGATTCTGTTATATACAATAAAGTAAAATATTGAACTATTTTGCAAATATTTTTCAAACATTTATTACTATTAATATAGAGTATATCATATATAGTTTATATTATATTAATAGTATATTGTCAATATCAATGCATAAAATTATTTATATAATCTGGATTAGCAAATATTTGATTTTTATAAATTGAAAATATAATTTTTGAAACAAAATTAATCAATGTTAATTATTCATAAAGATTTAGTAATCAAATTTTAATCTCTACTATAATTGTTTTGTTGGATGACTTAAGCCATTTAAAAGCTATACAATTCTCAAAATCCATGGAAACGCTGATTAAATAAATCTATTGCTAGTAATTGTTTGCATTGGATTTTATATAAAATATACACAAAACTTAAGCTAAACATTGTTATATCATATACTTATTTGAATATACAGTACAGTATATTATATAATTTATAAACAGTAGTATATAATACAGTATATAGTAATTGCTATTTTGTAATTTTATTGGTTGTATGCACTAAACATTTATTTTTTTGCTAATTAATATAAATAGAGATACAATATATTTAATCAGTGATATATTTTGTGTAAAACTTAAAATTTGCGTCAAATTTTTGTTGAGTCTATAATATTTTTAGACCACCAATTGGTTTCCCACAACGTGTCTAAAATACACAATAGACTTATCGATAATGTAAGACATATTGTGTTTTTTGTTGTTTAACTTAATGTAATGCTGTATTCACATCACATTAAGTATTATATGATATCAAATTGCTGACTGTTTAGGTTTATTATATGAACTTGTTAAATATCATAATATACACTATTATTTTTACAATAGCAATAATAAGCTATGTCAAATTGTTAGATAAATACAGCATTTATATTGAAACTATTGTATAATAATTGTATAATTTTATTAAAACAATAATAATATATTTTATAAGATGTTATAAACTGTATTATAAATCTAAATATAATTCATAATTGACAAATATATTTGAAAAATTGACTTATGATTAATAATTATGATTAGAAATAAAATTTATAAAATTATAACATTACAGAATATATATATCATTTTCACGAATTCCTGAAAGGAATACGTATATGCATTCTATAAGTCTGTCTGTCTGTCGGTCTGTCTGTCCCACGAGGACATAGGTTCGAATCCACTATCCGCTACAAATTTTTTTTGAATTTTTTTTGTTTTTTTTCTATATTTAAGTTTATTTTTTAGGAAATTGAAGAAAATGGTGTCCAAAAATTAATTAAAAAAATTTTGAATTTTTTTTGAATTTTTTTTTTTGAATTTTTTTTAATGATTTTTTATTTTTTTCGTTTTTAAGTTTATTTTTTAGGAAAATAGTAGTTTATTTTGTAATACTGAATCATTTGATACCCCACATGACTATAGTTGTTTATTTTGTCATACTAAATCGTTTGATACCCTACATAACTATAGTTGATTTTATTTTATCATACTGAATTTAATTTTTAATTATGATTAGGAATTCGTGTGGAAATGCTTTCTAGCATTCTCAACTGGTTAGTTATAATAATTAAAATTAATTATTTGATTATTTCTAATTTAAGTTAATTGATAAAAATTTATTATTAATGAAATGTTTAATGAATATTAATAGCTTAAAATTTAAACTAAATTATTTAATTATTTGATGCTTTATTTAAATACTACTGTAATGTGTCATTTAAACTGTTATTATAATTAAATAATTACAGAAGATATAAGAAAATATATTATACTATTATTTAAAAAAATATTTATACTATATTTTCAAATTAAATAAAAAAACTATTTTGAGTACATTAAAGGAGTCATAAAATCATATTTAAAATATAATTTATGTCATGAAATAAAGTGATGATATCATTGAGTGTCAGATCCATAGAGTTATATCATTAYTGAAGAAAAAGTCGGATATAATAATCATTATTAAAGTCTTAGAGAATAAGTAAAGCATGAAATGAGTGAATCAATGAATTTAGACAAACTATATATTTAAACAATAGATCCATTAATCTCTTTCATATCTCTCTCTCTCTCTCTCTCTTTCTCTCTTTAACTGACTCACTAACTTACTATCAATTTTTTAAAAATTAATTTTCAAAAATATATATTGAAACAAATTGTATATATTATTGAAATAGATTTATACAAAATGAACAGATTATTATTATTTTTTAAATTTTGGTTTTTTCATCATATATTATATAAAAGTAAATATCAATAAATAAAATAAATTATAAGTATAAATCTAKTAATACTAAATAAAATTTTAATTCAGTAAATTTTTATTATTTTTAAATTAAAATGAATAATATTGATTTAATTATTATGCATTTTATTTATCTTATTTAATAAATATTTGCATTTATTATAAAAGAAAATAAATAAAAAAAACAATATTTGACTTCTTATTAGAATAAATTCATATGATTTTTGTTTATATGAATTATTTGTTGGAAAAATTATTATAATTTATTTAAAGCTTAATCAATACCAATAATTATAATTATTTGTCCAAAAGATCTTTTCTGAATTAACTTTTGAAAAATATAAATATAATTAATGCCAAAAATAAGTAATAAAATATGTTCTATAATTTAATTATTATTATGTAATCAAAAATATAATAAAACTATTTAATTTAATTCTGCACTAATTTAAGTATAATTTGATTGATAATAATTATAAATTATATAAACCATTAATAATTATAATATTTTTATAAATTATTACGTTTTTATACTCAACTAACTAAGCATACATGCATTTTAATGTTTATAATATACTAATACAGTAAATATTTATAATTAATAAGAATAATATCACAWAATTAAATGATATATTTAGGAAAAAACTTAATAGTTATATATTTATTTATTTTGATTATTATATTTAATATTAATTATTATACAATTATCTTGTTTATTGATTTTGATTGAATTATCAAGCGATTTTTTTGTTATAAGATAATTTTATATTTGTTTTAGTAAATTCAATATACAGTATATGTATATTTAATTATATAAACGTGATGATTTTTAATAAATGTTTTAAAACTTTAAATAATTTGATTTATGTTTTTAAATGTTTTGCAATAATTTGATAAAATTAGGTAAAATTTCATTATTTATTATTTGAATTACTAATTTATTTAAATGTGTGGGCGATGTATAATATTACTAAAAAATTTAAGAAATATTTGATTTTTTGTATATAAATTTTGTAATCTAATATCAATCAATTTATTTTTTTATTAAATTTAGGAAWAGTTTGTAGTAAAAATATATACAGTAAGTTACTAATATATAAATTATTAAAAATGTTAAAATACATTTAATTTTTAAATTGAATTGATAATTATAAATTTATCTTATGTTGATTATGACTTAATTAAAATTTTAAAAATAATAATTAAATGTTAACAAGTTAATAAAAATTATAATTAACATTAATAATTAATCAAAATATATTAATACATAAATTTATAAACAACTTTAAATATTTATTAATTTTTACTTTAAAATTAGAGTTTTATATTACAATAAAATAAGTAATTCACAAATGAAATTGATARCTTAATAAGATTTATTTATATTTATTTTTAAAAATAGCATAAAAAATTATAAAATAAAAAATATTAATATTAATATTAAAATACATTAATTTTTAATTTTTATGTAAAACATTATAATAAAATAAAAAAATTATTATAACATTTTAAATATTGTCTAACAGATGGCATAATTGTAACAATATTTTCAAAATTATTTTAACAGAAGAAACAATTTTGTGTATAAATACTAATAAAATATATTATATATTATATATATTATATTWTATGCTATTTAATATTATATTAAAACTATTGAAATTGTTTTAATTTAGTTACACATTAAATATATTTTTTATTAATAAATAATTACAATTAATACATTCTAATATTTATATAAWAATTTTTTTATASAATTTTATATTTTTATAGAATTATATATTTKTATATATAATAATTATATATTTTTATATAATTATATAATTTTACATTTTTAAAAATATAATAATAAAGGATTTAATTTATTTRATATTTAATGTAATATGATATGCATTATTGAAGTACAATAAATGAATAATTTTTATAATTTATTTTTACATAATACATAAACATAATTAATTATATCATTTTGTTATTTTTGTTGAATATGTCAATGTATCTAATTTTTACACATATTATGTAGTTTGTTGTGTCAAATATAAAATTGTTTTAATATTTTCTCATTAAATAATCTTTTGTTTGTGAATTCATGCAAATAATAATTTAAAAATTTTTAATATAAAATTTTATATTAACAAATAGTTTACACATGTTTTACTCAAACTGTTTATACAAAACTGAAA